GTGGTATAATTTTGAACTATTTTCATGACCTGTCAAATACTTCAGTATTCCAGTTTAACCACGCAAAAATTTACCACCTGCTTATTCATTTGTTCTGATAATAATTATCTTATTATTTAATAATTTATTCTTTTGTTGCAATAAATACAAGCATTTTTCAGAACTAAAAATGAGACACTTTTTTTTTTAAAAATCAGAAAGACTTTTACGTGTTAAAACTGGTGTTGATGTGAAATCAACAAATAAATCATAACAAAAAATCATGCATTACAATAAAAATCATTTAAATAGAAACATTCCACGCATTCATTCGTCATTCACATCAACGTACACATTTCACTCATATTTACACACAACTTACGTTGCACTCACTCAAAGCATGCAAAAAATCACCCATTCACGCATACAAATCAAACAACTACACAGCAAGCATTCAACAGACATACTACTACACACGCACGCATCCATTCGTCAAGCCATCCACGCATAAGAGTCGGATATAGCACAAAGCGCAGGCGAAGAAAACGCAACAACAACTATACGCCTCCACAGAGACGGTGGCTGTGTTGCCTGTAGTATCACCGGCAAACGCCGGTGCACTATGTCGTCGAAGATAGCACAAAGTGAAGGTGGAGAGAAAACAACAACAATTTACACACCTCACACAACCGCTGAGCGTCTGACTGATGCATGCATAATGAGTAAGAGCGGACAATTTATTGCCGTTCTCATTCTTTTGCATATGCTCTTACCAAACACGCGGGTATAAAAGCCTGGGCGCCGCATGGAAAGGGCCTATTTGTTTGCGACTCATTAGTAGAGCAACATCTCGAGACTCACAGCAGATCGAGTTATCTCAAGCCTTCCATAGATTGAGTAAATGTTCAACGTAAGTGAAACGACGATCAAATAGCATTTAAAACCTTACAAAACGAAAAACACCAAAATATATGCATGAAACCCAATTCTTTAAAACTTAAACCTAAAAAAAACATTAAAACAAACACACTACGCCGCACGGAAAAATTAAAACTAAAAACCTTATAAAATAAACCCAACATAAATCACAGCCATTCATTTTCACTGCCGCACGGCAAAATTAAAAAACTAAAAACTAAAACCTTATAAAATAAACTTAAAATAAATCACATCCAGAATAAAAGCAAATTACCACTCATTTTCACTCACATTCATTCTTTTTTGCACACACAATAGATAAAGCAATAGCACACCAATCAATCAACCCATCTCCCATCCAAACCCATTCACACCCACACAAAGAAGTAAATACAGTCTACTCTTACATTCATATCACACACACTAACACACACATTTAAATTACAGTGTTCCCGCAAAAACATTCAAAATTTCATATAAGGCCTGCTTCAGCAGACACATTTTCTTTCACATCTTCAAATAGGTGCCATTTGATAACTGGCCTCGAGAACTTTCCAACGATACCCAAAAGTCTGAGATCGGTTGAATAGGCTGGGCACAGTAGCCATTGAAATGAAGGCCATTTTTTAAATTTTCAAAGGCCGGCCAATGCCAAGATCAGAGGTTGATTGCACATAAAGAACGACTATGAAATTAGAACAGTTTTTTGCATCATTTGACATTTTTGTTCATTCTAACTAATACTAAAAACGTGAAGCTATTTTGGTAATTATCTCTACTTAAATCAATGCAAATCTTAACGATTTAAAGCTGAAATGGTTGTTGTCTTTGATTAAAAAAGCTGTTTATAGCAGAATTCGGTTATTGTCTATAATGATGCAAAGCTTTCAGTCGTTTTTTATTTATATAAATTTCAAATATCAAATAAATTTATCCGATATTTTTCATGCGTTGTGTTGTTCTAACGCATTTGCCAGCAATTTATTGCTGGAATTGGATTTTCGTTTTGTTCATTTACCGTTATTTCTCAACAATTCTGCCACTGTGTCACTACATAGTACGTAGTATACAGTCATGGACTAAATTGAGCGTATGATGCACAAGCTCATGTTGCTTCGAAATGGTATATATGTTTTGCTCCACCGAACCGTTGTTTGGGAAATGGAGACGGTTAAACTTTTTTTTATTTTTCACTTTTATCACTTTCAACACATAAGAATATTTCTTGAACCAAGAATGATATTGAAGCATCTTAACCGGCGTTTGAAAGCTTGAGGTTAGACCAACGAAATGCAATAATAACCAACCAAATATTTCAAGTACTTTAAAAGATACAGCCGTGAAAGTATGATAGCTGATGTCAAAATAGCGCCATTTATTTGACATTTGAGGTTATAACTCACAAATGGTAAATTATTTTGACATCTTGTCTTGATCAAATTTACTCTACTCATCAAGTGCTACAACTATGCTGAACATGTCAATCCCAAAAACTAACTCCCTTAAAAAATAAACGCTGAAGTACCACAATGTGGAGTCCACGTAGTATACTCTTATATGGATCATTTCGAATTAACGGATTTTTGGCTGACAAGATGTTGTTTTTTTGCTAGAATATATTGAGCAAATTTCCAGTTCTTGATGTGAACAAAAAATTATCTCTTCTATTCATCTCCAAAAAACAACATCTTGTCAGCCAAAAATCCGTTAATACGAAATGATCAATTTGATAGCTGGCCTCAAGACCTTTCCAACGATACCCAAAAGTTTGAAATCGGTTGACTGGGTTAGGCACAGTGATCATTGGAAAGAAGGCCATATTTTGAATTTTCAAAGGCCGGCCAAGGCCAAGATGGCGGCCAAATCAAAAAATGTCGGAACAAAAAAGTCTTAGTTTTTGATATACTTCAATGCCTGAAAGTTTAAAAAAGATCGGGCAAAAACTACGGACGGACGGACAGAAAAAATATTATCTCAGAATAATTGGTGGAGACGCCAAAGAATTTTTTTAAATCGTCATAACTCATGAACAGATGGTCCAATTTCGACGTTCTTGGGCTTGTTGGAAAGGTCTCGACGAGTCGACTCAGAAAAAACATATTTCAAGATGAACGGGCCGCGTTCAACACCCGGTAAATGGGAAAAACTGGACTTTCTATGGAGGCAGTTGGTCGATTCCCAAGTTTGAATGCATTTTCTGGGCCTATGAGCCAGGGGCTTTCTAGCGATACTTCATTCTGGTCATTCATGGCCTCTTAAGAAAAAAGTTCGAAATTGCGTGTATATATAGGCGGGTTCGACTTTCAGGACAGAGGTGCTTTCGTCACTCGCGCCTGCTGTTGCCGGCTGTGATCTGAAGTAATTGCGACATATATTACGGCTTGCAATTGTAATACAGTATTTTGTGTGTCCAATCCGTTGGTGTTCTCGGCACATCGAAATTCGCGCTCCCTACCACTTTATTTTTACTCTGAAACCAAGTCACAACCAAAACCACCATCAAGATTAGTCATCATTCCAATGGACTTGAAAGTGTATCGCACATTTCTGCTTCATTTAAAGTGAAACACGATTTCTATAGTCAACAGATATTTCGCGATTCACTTTCAAGCAAACGGAATTCATGTTGCACTTTTGAAAAACCAGAAAATTGTGATACGCTTACCCATAAGTGGTTCAACTTTGGTCATTTTTATTCCCGACCACTCATATATACATTATAACGCTCCATCACGCATTGAACCAAAAAGTACCCTTAAAGTAAATTCTAGTCACTCTGAAATGAATTCATAACTTGAATATCAACATACACACATAATATATACTGTGCACTCCAGCACCACATGCACTAAATTCCTTTGGTCTACACGCGCAGCGGTTTTTTCATTCCATCTGTATAAATACAAAAGTGATGTGTTGGGCTAAGCATCTTCGAAAATGGTTATTCGTTTATCACGCGACGTTTCGCTCTTTTTAGGAGCATCATCAGGCTGGAGAACAAAAGAATTTGAAATGTTTTCGAACGTATCCCATTTTTTGCTATCAATTTACACAAGTTGTATCAGCTACACGTGTCCATCAAAGGAATTTTGCTATTGAGCTTCGTTGAATGTCTGAACATGGTTACATTATGCAACAGCAAAAGACAACCACAGAAAACGGAACTTATTTCCAAGGCTTTTGGGCTCAATTTATCCAATTCTGGAGCGTTAGTTTTTCTGGAACGTCTAGTTTTCGAGATACACTTATTGCAGTTTCTGTATCAGATTTGGATTAGGTGGGCACAAATACCTTGGAAATGAGTCTCCTCTTTTTGGAGGAAGTTTTTTTTTCCAAAATTTGTTGCATAGTATTAGTAGACCTCAATTCGTAAATTCCATAACTGTAAAATTCTGCACTTCATCAAATATACGTTGCAGTGCACGTGTCAGCTATTGGTAGATAAATGGTATAAAAGAGGCAGCACCGTATAGGGAAGACCAAACAAATTCAAAGTATCTCTTCTCAAAGAGTACAAGAAAGTTCTCTACTATCATTGTGCAACAGGTTAAAACTCTGTTTCGTTGGCAAATTAAAATGAATCTACTACACGGTTTGTTTTCGGTGCTATTTATCGTTGAATTTTCTGTGAGTTTTTTCTTTTACTTTATCATTTTTATTTTTATCCAACAAAATGCGATGTTTCTGTAGAATTGGAAGTGAACACGAAATTTCTTTTTCTAGGAACTTCAAGGAAAACGTAAGACAAATTATGTTTTCGAACACGCTTTTCATGATTCCAAAAGATTTTCATACTTTTATAATATTCAATTCGAAATTTCAAATTTTTTTTCTAATGATCAGATGGCTTTTTCTCGCAAGCTCTTCTCAAGGGCGAAGTAATTGAAAACATGTCACAGGCAAAGTTTGTAGCTGGAATCCATGCCCCTGCAAGTAAGTCGGCTTTAGAATAATTTTTATTCTTTTTTTCGTGTGAATTTTCGATTCAAATATTCTATCAATTTTGTGTGTGTACATTTTTGCTTGTACTGAGACGAAACGATTTTATTACAGAATATTTGTATGCATTCAAAGACAAGTTAACTGATGCTGATAGAGAAACGATGTATATATGTACCGGATTTATTTTGTCAAAAACGGAAATTATCACGAATGCCCATTGTGTGGCTGGCGCTCCATATGCATATGTGGTAGCTGGTACGAAAGTTGCATCAGACAAAAATCAAAAAATCAAAATAAAAGTCGAAAAAGAGAACTTGGAATATCATCCTCATTATATTCATTCAATTTTTGGTGCATTTGATATTGCCAAAGTTACACTGAAAACGCCGTTAGAATTCAGCGATACCGTTGGCAGTATTGAACTCGTGGGCAAGGATTACAAATTGAATAACTCATCAGAAGTGGTCACTGTCTATGGGTATGGCGTGTTGAATCGACCAAAGATATTGAGGCGTTGCGATGCGAACTATATATCTGACGTCGAACGAGCCATCACATTTAACCCAGTTGAGACTTTGTACTTTACCACTGGCGAAGCTACGAACGATGGCGAAATTATTACACCTGGCGATTCGGGTGGACCGGTCGTTTCAAAAACAATTGGCAAAATCGTGGGCATAACTATGGCTAGAAATGGAACAACAGGTGGCCGCGGAATGTTCCTCCCAATTACGTCATTCCTTGATTTTATCCATGATCCAAAGGTATCTAATCTCAATGCCCCAATTTGCAATTCAATAACGCGAACAAAATGTATTTTTGCTTTTATTTCAGAGCGTGAAACCACTTCCACCTTCGCTTACACCTAACGAAGCTAAATTTATGGCCGATATAGCGGCACCGGGAAGTAAGTGTGCATTTGAAATTTGAGTTAAATCAATTTATTATGTGGTTTTCAACGTCACTTTTAATCTTCATATTTTTTTTCTTTCGACGGCGAAAGAGGAGATTTTTACATTCTCATTACTGCTTAACGCTTCAAGTGACGTTAATTTTTATATTGTGCAATTATTTGATGAAAAATACATGGGGAAATTATGTCCATTTTCGATTGGATATAATTTCCCCGGGAAATTATGTCCATACTTATTTGGATATAACTTCTTCTGATATTTGGCCATATTTTCTCTAATCATTTTTTTTTTAAAAAAAAAATTATGTCCAAATTTGAAATGGAATTATTTTCCCCCATATTTCGGCCATAAATTCTCCATTCACTTTGTATGGGGGAAGTTATGACCGGGGGAAATATGACCGGTCACCAATTTTTCATGATTCATAAACCAATACTCATCCTGAGATATTTTTCTATTACAGAATTTCTTTCCGCCACCAAAGAAGATTTTGCCGATGCTGAAGAAGATGCTCAACTAAAATTTAATGCAATCATTTTGTCGGAAACGGAGATTTTGACGTGTGCACATAATGTGCACGGCGCCCCATATGTCTATGTAATAGTAAATAAACTATCAAGCAATCCGACAAAAATCAAAATCACCGAAGACCAAATAGAAATTCATGAGAAATACGCATTTCCTGGATTGGAATTTGACATCGCTAAGATTACACTTAAAGAACCGTTGGAGTTCAACGATAACGTCGGCAGCATCGATTTGGTTGACGAAGATTACAAAATGAATGACCCGTCCGAAATGGTCTCTGTCTATGGTGATATGATATTAGATGGAGCAGCGCGAACGAGACGTTGTGATATAAAGTATTTGAATGGCGCCATTTGCAAATCGATATTGGGCGACTCATTTGATGCAAATCATTTAATGTGTTTTAATTCTGTTGAAAGTATGGGATATCTCTGTGCGTTTGGAGGACCAATGATTTCGAAAAACAATAACAAACTCGTGGGCATGACCATAATTCGTTTTCCTGATGAACCGGTTATTTTTCAACCGATTGCACCATTGCTTGATTGGATTCGGAAGCCAAAGGTGGGACGTCATCAAAGAAAAAAAACGGCTTAAAAAAATGGGTTCCAGGCGCCTGAAAAAGCTGAATACCGTCTCTTTTTTTACCCCTGTCATTTGATGTTCAACAAAAGAACCGAATAAATTTGAAAATTTTAGAAAAATGCATTTTATTTCTCATTCGCTCATGTATAGCTGCACAGTTAATAATATATTATTAATTATTATTAATACTATATTATTAACTAGGCAGTATTAACAACTGATTCGTTATTAACATCGCCTGTTAATATCGCTATTACTTACTAGTTAATAACAGTTAATACCGGTATTATCATACTAATATATTATTAACATGCGATGTTAATACCGATAGTATGATCATACTATATTATTATGATCAGGGCAACCAAAAATATTTATTTAAATAAAAAATATTTAAATAAATATTTTGGCCATTTTTGAAAATAAATAAATATTTCCCAATTTTCGAGTTTTTCGTAAATATTTTAAGGTTTTTGACGTCTTTTCTGAAATATTTTTGGGCATTTTTCAAGCAATGATAAATATTTTAGATGTAGGTAACATAAATTTTGCAATAGAACATGAGTCATATTTCAAGACAAAACATTGAAAATGCACTTTGCATGTCTCTACATGACTTTGCAAATCGAAGATAATGGAATTATATCGAATTGTCTCACTTATAGTTGATCAAAACCAAAAGTTGCGATTCTGCAATATGTGCTATTTCGACAGTATTCAGTGTATACATTACTGTGTAGACGTTTACAAATTTTATTTATCAGCTGATCGAACGATCGCTTGCATTTGCAAATGTGTATTCATCAAATAATATGTAAATAACGTTCTCGCGCACTTATAACTAATTGCTTCGAACGACTCGATTTGGCACTTTGAATTTCGTTCTGATTTGGAGACTGAAATAGACGCGTTCAAATTTGCTCCAATTACGTCAACCGATGTCGAACGTTCATTTTCCATGTACAAGAATGTTTTGCGTGACAATCGACGTTCATTCCTTTTCGAAAATTTAGCTAAACACGTTATCATTTTCTGTAACAACTTCGAATAATACTTAACTGTCGAAAATGTCAAGAAATATTCAAAATATAAGGTTTTTTCCACTTATTTTTATCGTAAATATTTTCAGCTTATTTTTAGTTTATCGTAAATATTTCGATGTTTTTTCCATACTCCGAGCACGTATATGGAGTTTTAATACATTACATTTGGTACGGGCGTCTAACTCCATCTACGGATTTTTCCAGTAGTTGTGAATCGAGTAGATATATAACGATTTCAACTATTTT